GCGAAAAAGATAAAAGGAAGAAAGAAGTGGAAAGAAAATGAACCGTCAAATGTATACGGTATCCTTCTATTCGTGTAAGATTTAAATTCTTCTACCTAATTTATTCTCGAGAATCTATTCCAATCTTATTAAAATATATTACTTCTTCTTACTCTTTATTTTTAAAAATGATAAAGACTTGATAAAATTTTTATAAAAATCTTAGTAACAATCATAATCCTTTCTATTATTTCTCTATTCTCCTTGTATAATAATAATTCATCATTATCTCATATTATATCTTTCATCATCATCATCGTTACATATATTTAAATCTCTTTATTGTTCAAATTTTGACAAATCAAGAAACTTATATTATACTTATTGATAGTTTTCTTTTGCTTAAAAATTTAAAGAGAAATTTTTCAATCGCATAAATCATTTTTAGAAAATGTGATTCTCAATATTCCATTATCTCTTTTCCAATTAAATCATTCTTATGTCTGATTCCCAACAATATTGTACATTGTGTCCTTCCATATGTGTCGGATACGAAACATCAGGCAATTAAAAGCCATACTTTTACCGCAGCGTGCTTAAGAACCGAGGCGTTTAAGAGTCGACGCTTCCGTTCACACGTGCGTAACGAAAGATCTGCAAGAACGACGCCTCCGCGAAGTAAAATAAAGAGGAGACCACCGAGACAAGATTTAGGGCCGTCTGAGTATTCGTGTCTGAATCTCCTTGCGCGCGTCTTACGCTAGCGCTGGGGAAAATCCGTGCCTCGTGATGTCAACACGCGTGAAATGGCGAGAAACGTTGACAGAAATGAATGTTGTGTAAATTTCAACCGAGAATTCTGGTTTTACAATTTTTTCGAGTGTGCTTGTCTCTATGGGGATATTGTATTTATATGCTAGTAGATAATTTTAACGCAATATATCTCTGCTTGTTGATTTGATCGAAATAACTTGACCAATATTTTATCTATCATTTTTTAAATAATAACGAAATTATTTGATGGATTTAGAATTTTTTTAATTGATAAACATGGATTATTAATATTGAAATATATGTAGATAGTAGTTTGAAATATTTATATAAAGTAGAATAGACAAGTAAATAGATATATAATTTGCTTCAAAGTATAGTTGGAAAATATAAATTTATATTTAGAACTTTTCGACGCTCAAATTTCACGAGAAATTCGTTTTAATTACAAGTTTCAACAGTTTCTTGGATTTTATTTACAACACTTTCATCTTGTTTTACAACCCGTTAAGTGCTATTTTGTCAGCCCCGTATTCTTCTGTAGATCCGGTCGATACTCACTTCCGCTTCGTTGTCACACGAACAACTTTCGTCAAAATGGTTTTCCTCGCACGATAAACTCCTTCTGACAGCATCTCGTAGACCAATATATATTTAAAGACCATTGAAACCTCTAAGAATAAAGAATCGTAATATTCACTTTGCTTAATTCAAATTTCATCGAATGAAACTATTTCCGTGCAAAATGAAGGAATGAAAATTCCAGAAATATTATATTACATCTCTATCTCTTAAACGTTAATAGATGAATTAAGGATATAAATGAGAAAATAATTTTTGAACTCTTTAAAAGGTCGTTGTCGCAACAAGCTCGAAGATACATGGGCTTTGTATAACGTGACCACCCGTTTAACTTTAGATTCTGTTAGAAGCTCAATTAGACTGGTGTCGTGTTAACGAGTGCCAAAATAGCCTCACTATTAGCGTGATGTACCGATTAGCCAGCTTGGAAACGCCTACAAACAGAAGAAACGATGAATGGGTGTAACCTGCCACGACGTTCTTCTATGATGAACGAGAAATTATGCGTAAGTAATTGCATCCTTTGTTCGTCATTTCTTTTTTTTTCTTAACCTAATCTTAATCCTTGGAAAACAATACGGATATTATGATTTTTTTTTAAAAAAACAATATATTATAACAATAATTTAAAAACATGTTCTAGCATATTCTAATTTCATATTAAATAATTCGAAAATAATTGTCGAATTTCAGAAATCTTGATCAGACGCAATGATCATCGTTCATTATTTATATTAGTGACAAGAAAAATTTTATTGTCACATTTAAGAAATTTGATCATGTTTTTAAATTTATCAATACACTCAATAATACGATTCCTTAACGATACTCTTACCATTATTCTTACTCATCAAATTAACATTCATCAAAATCAGTTGCAATAGGTCCGAGCTATTTCGGGTGGGCCGACTCGCGTGCATAATCGACGCGTTATTAGACCGGTCACGTGGGTGTATTTACGTCATAACGAGTATGCATAGTGATCAGCGTTAACGAGGCAGCTCAGCTTTCAGCACGGTGCACGTTTACCATAAGCCCACCAACCGCGTCCCTCTCGTATTTTTATCGTTCGACCGCGAAAGCCGCCGATGAACGTGTCTTCCATTAGGTTGCTCACCACGCCACCCCCGCACTACGTTTCCTTAACGAGCCCGGCTATCCGTGCCGATCTTGACGCGAGCCAATCCACTACCAGGATAATGATGTACCCTTCTCGGTGTCAATCCGCTCGGCGTCATCGGGATCGTGTTTGCTCAACACAAGAATCTTGTCTTGTAGACTCTGTAGAACTTTCCTCGACTTCGACTTTCATCCTTGAGAATTCTATTTAAGATCCGAGACGAAGAGGATTTAGAAACGATAATTGAAGAGAAAAGGCTTTGAAAGTTGTCCAAAGTGTATTTGTATTCATTCGCCTCTGTATTCGTTGAATCCAATATTTATCATATTTTTTGTCGGAAGTTTCAATATTTGCCATCAAAAATTTTTTAGTACATGATTCGTCTTCTGTCATTCACAACTTCTCAAAATAAACAATATTTTGATATGTGTTTCTCTTAGAACATAATATAATAGATTTTCTTTTTGAATGTTCTTCATTGTAATTTTGTGATTTTCGTTCATTACGGAATAGATAATAATAAGCAACGCGAAAATTTACCAGACCTCTGTATCGTTAGAACGAAGAAATATCAGAAATTTCTGGAGAAGGAAAACCAAGCCATCCCTATATAACTCTAACACAGGAACGATTTTGTCCGTCACAGGCGGCAATTAACGTTGAATCGATGCCAGACTATCCAGGGCCACGGTACGGGTGAAATTCATCCTTGGTCCAAGCTCGATCACGCCGGCGGATCGCGAGCGCGTAAGGACAAAAGCGGCTACGGCAGCAAGATGGCGGCCCACGGATCGGTAGGCGCGTCCGTGAACGTAGTTGGCTCGTTCGTTGACCAATCAGAGACGCGGCTAAACCGCGTCCGTGCGGTTACGCGGCCACGCCAGCTGCCACGCCGCCGCGAGTCGGCGCGTCACGGACGTGGCCCAGCAATTGAAATGCGGCTCGCCGCCGGCCGCCAGTTGCCCGTCGACTTGTGCCCCGTGCGGTCTTCTCCACGTGCTTTTTTTTTTCTCTCTCTCTACCTCTTCTCACCCCCTCTGATTCCTTTTGGCTCGTGTTTGGAAACGCGTACACACGCGTTCCTCCGGCACGGCAACGAAAAGGTGAACGGGGGAAGGGGTCGAAACGGATCCGCGTTTTAAATAAATTGTGGTTCTGAGTGCCGTTTCTTTTGGTGATTCTGGAAACTTTGGATATTGGGTATTATTGGAGAATTGGATTCCAGGACGAATGGAAGGTCTTGGTTCGAACGGAACTGTGATTCGGAGTGAGGAAGTGGAGATTTTTCGAGCGGAAGATCTGATCGGAAGATCTGGAGGGAAGGTGAACATTTTTTGTGAAGGAGAGGAGTAAGATTGGAGAGCTTGGATTTTGTGATTTAATGAAAAGTTTTCTTTGGGATTGTTAGTACAAGGTGATTGAAATTCTACAACGTGATACTTGGAACCTCGTGTTTGAGGAACTGGAATTAATTATAGTGAGTTAAACTGCTGCCTTTGAAAGGAAGAATATGAGAATTTAGTCTATGGATATAGAATATGTTCAATTTCTGTGTTATTTGAAGACTTTTAAACTAAGTAATCAAGAAAATTATATAAAAATTAAATATATGAAGATTAATTTAAAATATTCTATGAACTTAAATGTCATGTTATTAAACCACACTTAATAAAAGAAGTATTTGTAATCAGTATCAAAAAATATGCATTTACATGAATTTTAAAATCAGTATCTAGTAACAAAATTAAGATATACATATATTATAGTGGAAGCGAGAAGATATATTTGTTAGGAATACGTATTTTCACAGTAATGAAAATATTTTAATGATGGACTTATTGATGCACGCATAAAGCTTTTAATGTACGCATGATTATTATAAAACTGGCTGTTACAAAATAACGGTACTCTGTGTTATTTAAATAATTCAATTTTAATGAAACTTTTGCACCGAGAAGCCTCGTTAGAATTCATTAATTCACTTTTAATGGAGCAATAAATATTCATATCGAATTTTATAATCATAAAACCACTTCAAAGCGATTCGATATCACTATTAAAATATAATTGGATAATAACTATTAAGAAACGATTATATATCGAATATCGAACAAATCCGAAAAAAAATATTACTTGTTATCATCGCGTATGATATTATGTAATTCAAAAGATTCGGAACATATCGGAGGAAGGAATCGTAACAATCGTCGAATCATGAAACGATAGATCGTTTATCGTCACGAAATTTCGAGAGAGAGAGAGAGAGAGAGAGAGAGAGAGAGAGAGAGAGAGA